GATTCCTTATGCAGGATATCGTAAAGGGAAATCTTTACTTCAGTAAAAGTACACCTTTATTAGCACTTAAAATAAATTGGGCAGCATGGCCATTTTCAGAATAATATATATTATATCACTGGATTATAATTATAAAATGTACTTTATTTTTATTTGACAGCTGGTAAAGGTGGAGCTAACTCTTTCGTACTCATTAGTCCATCATAACCTATTAGTTAATTTATGATCAACACATGATGGCATAATCATGGCCGACCCACAGCAGCGATTGTGTGGGATCATGTGTATTTGTTCCTAAAGTGAAATCAGCTTATGCCTCTGATCAATACGGCGTATTGTTCATGCCCTTCTCGCTGCCTGTCACCTTTCTCCATACGGCAAACCTGAAGACACTATTGATCGCCCTCTCGCACTCGCCAATTGTCTCTCTCTCACTCTCTAAATCACCATCAGATAATAGAGAGGAAACTCCCAGCGAAAGATCAATATCTGCCTGGTTAATTCACTCACTACCATCAAGGACAAAACTATTTATGCTGCCCCCGACAAAAAGCGTCTGGATCGACAACAATCTTGTTTATTTCATCTTCTTTCAAAGTGAAAATACATCATGTGTGTTGTATGAGGCGTTTCCCTCACACTGCTCCAATAGCGCCGTCAATGAAGAATCACTTTAGAAGCTGTTTCTAAAAGACGCCGGTTTGAGAACAAGCACAGGGCTGCACATCGACTTCACACCAAGTCGGGGTGTTGATAACGCACAGTTGGAGCTGATCCATTTGAAAGGTGTTTGTGTCAGCGAGGGATTCCTTAACCATTGCTTTTAACAGACAATTACGGTCCGGGGAAAAATAAATTGCTTTGAAATGCTCCTCTGCTATTGATAATACCTGCTTCACACGTCCAACAGAAGACAACAAGCACCCAGGAACAACACTGTAAAATGAAACCTCTTTTAAAGTCATTGCTGGCATCTTGGTCACCTCTGATGAAATAATGGAATTGATTAGGAACTTGTGAAAGGTATATATTATTATTATTCTTTCGTGTTGAGATTTCAGGATGTGTGCTTGTTCCTCTGAGCTTGTTGAACTAGTTGGTGGATGAGGCCCAGTCGGTAAAAGGTGGTTGTGATGTCACTTTCTAAACACTAATCTGGTTTAATCTGACAACAGCTGAGGGGTTGTTTGCTTATAAGGCCACTGTCAATTAAACCAGGGTTAAATAAACAGCAGATTGGTTTAGGATTTGACTTTTAAATGCCTAATTAATGTATTTTTCCAAACTTTAATGTAGATTATGGACAATGGACATTAAATGTCATTCTAATGGGATATAAACATAAGAAATAACGGAATTTGGCACCAAATAAACCCAAAAATGAACCAAACTCTCCTTCAAATGTTTTTGGTGCAGTGTTGAATGAGCCTCTCTCCAGGAAGGAGACGCTGCATTTGGCTAAGCAGATGAAATGTGAGCCTGGTTGAGTTTTCAACGTGAACAAAATTACAGAGTAACAAATGGGAAGAGCTATTAGACAGAGCAGAGGAAGGAAGAATGGCACAGGTTGAGTAACAGCAGGTCTGCATGTTAAATGATGTTGGACTGATGAGGGAGTGAAGCTGCTCAGACAGAGGAGTCTCATCATATCAGTCTCAGGAACACAAGAGGTCAAGCGGGATCCATTTCACTCTTCTGATTCTCTTTCTTGTACTCATTTAATGTCTGTCTGCCAATTACAGGGAGAATGATATCCATCCCCATCTCAGCGGGATCACTATCACACAAACACAGGACACTTTCAAATGATTCGTCATCAGTAGGAATATCAGAAGGTTAGTAATCGATGCTAACAGCTCTGAAATTCAACGTGTCGGTACCCATTTCCCTACAGCAGTAAAACACAAATATAAAACAACAGGTCCAATGTAACCCTAACCCTACAACATGCGCTCCGTGTCCGGGCCATTATAGGGGGAACATATAAGACTTGTTGCTTTTTACCGGCTTTCCTCATTATATCTGTATGGACGATTATTTATCAAAATATTGTAATGTGTAAATATTTTGTGAAAGAAGCAATCGTAAAAAAATTGTACTTTTCATCGCAGTATCAAAGTATTTTATCAGAAATATTGTGATATTTGATTTCTTTTATCACTTATTCCGTGTTTTGGCATGGTTCTCGTGACATTCCTAGTTAATGTCAAACAGCATAACCCAGTTAAAGGGAAAACAGGCTGTTATCTATCAGGTGACTTTACAGAGAGTAAGGAGAGAAATGATGAGCTAGGAGACTGCACTGTGATCTTCCTTGGTTGCAGATATGAGATGCTATTTTAGGCGATCAAGGAGAAGCCCCAGGGAGGGAGACAAGGGAACCGAGAACCAGAAGGAGGAGGTGTCCGGGCAGCGACGGTGTGAAGATGTGGTTCTACTGAAAACTAGGTGATAGACTATTGGAGGAGCAGCAGAAAACATACATTTAAACAAATAAAATCAATCATCGTTGAATACAGACTTCTCAGGGCGGACTCTTCCATCTTTATATCACAACGTGCTGCGTTTCAGGTGTTTTTTCACACAACATCGTGGTGTTCATCCAACAGCCTGCCGTGTGCAGCTTTAGTAGCTTTACCGTCTTAGCCTTAACCTTTCCTTGACATCTTAATCTTTGCAGCTTTGTGAGGTGTCAGCCAGTCTTCGAGGTCCATGTAGTTATGGAAAGGATAAATGGAAGACTGCACTCTGCAAAGGTCACATCTACCCACACAAACAACTGAGGAATTTCTGAAAGGCAGTCTTTTCACTTTTAAGCAATATGTGAAGGTTTGAAAACCGTGCTGTAGGATTCCTTCCAGCACGTTGACATCGAGTCATGGCATGTGTCCTTCACTGTGAATTAGCAGCAAGGTACAGCATGCTACTGTATATCCCATATATTATATAAGGCGCACATAGATCATATGAAAGAGATTTGATCCATGATGACTTATCCTACAGAAAGTCCCATTACAGAAGCCGTGAGGCAGTTTGATGGATAGCACATAATGATGACGTTTCTCCATGTGATACTTTCTCTCTCTCTCTCTCTCTCTCTCTCTCTCGTAACAAACGCACTCTTTCGTAAAAAGAAATCTCCAATCCAGTCGACAGGTCTGTGAATAAATCCGGACTTCTGGATTAATCTCCCTCTTCCTCCTCCCCCGTATAATAACGGTAGTCTTCGACTGTCCCTAATCCCCCTAAGGAGTGTAGAGATTACCAATATCCTCTGAATATCTCACATTTCCCACAAGAATACGACATGCTGCTCTCTGTCATGAAGGGGGTTGACTTGACAGAAACAACATGTCAGTCAATTGATCCATTGTATCACTTTACAATAGTACAAAGTATTGAGCTTCATGCAGCTCAGCCATTGGCAGCAGCACGTGTCTAACAGCTGATAAGGCCTGGGCAATGCCTCTTGTTTGTGTTGCTGCTATACAAAATATAATATACTATTCACTTTCTGTTTACTTGTGATATTTTAGATTTGTATATTAGACGCTAGGCCTGTATTATTTAATTAATTACTAAATAAAATAACAAAATAAAAAGCTTTAATTCACACATTTTTACTTTTTATTTGTCACTATAATTGAATGACCAGAAAACATTCTTTATCATGATTGAATATCCTTATCTAGTTTTTTAAATAATTACATTTGGAAACAGAATTGTTTTCCCTTTTTAATGATTAGATATTTGTTTCTTTTCTTTCACTGTCATTTTAACATTATGAGATTGTATCTGAAATCATGAAAGAAATGTTAATACTGAAATCAAAATTACAAGAAATATTTGCATACTCATGAGATGCATGTCATTATAAAGGTCTAAATAGTGGTGAAGTAAGAAAGCATATATTAAAAAGAATAGATTGTCAAGTTGAAAAAAAACAGCAAATGAGGCGTGGGATTGATAACAAGATGTACAAAGGTTTGGGAGGCGTGTGGCGCAGTGGTTAGTGCGTTGGTGTTGGGATCAGGGGGCCACTGGTTCAAACCCCACTGCAGTCAGCATGTTGTTGTGTCCCTGAGACACTTCACCTCAAATTGCTCCTGTGGGGATTGCAAACAGTATTGAGTATGTAAGTTGCTTTTGATCAAAGCGTCTAACAAGTAACATGTAATGTAATGTTTAAACCGTATAGTGGAATATAGGATTAACTCTGTGACAAGACAACATGGTGGAGTCTTTGGCTTCTCACATGTACTATTAGCTAAATCTGGGTATGTTAACTAAAACAAGTTCTCTAGCAAGTAGGGCATTTAGCCTGTGGTGTTAAACTAAAGGTGTGTATTTTTGACACAAATCGATGGTTGTTTGCTGCCAAGTACAAAATGTTTTCACATAGCAACCGTGGTAATTACCAGCAGGATCTTTGGAAATGTTCCCACAAGACTTCACTAACTGTATAAGTGTGTCAACACAAGCTGTAAACAGAACATCAAAATCCACCAGTGCTTGCAGAACAAGGTTTTAGAAAAGTCCTTATAATTCAATAGACTGCACAGCTAGGCTTAGGCTGTTATTTATTCATGGTTTAGGTTTAAATGCAGATTTGGAATATAAGTGTTTCAATTACTTCTACGCATCAAAGATCTCTTGTATCTTAAGATGGCACATGAACACAGCAGGACGCCACCAACATGCTGACAACAAAGTGTGTCCAATGCTAAAAATGTACCAAAAAGAGGGTGTTATAAGTGAAATTCATTATAATTGAATCTAAAAGAAGAAACAGGAAAATGTAATGCAGTGTGTAAATGTTTGTCAAGATGTGTAAGCTCAAAGTAAAAAGAATTAGATAATATCCTGAAATGTAACGCTATCAATATATTGTATTATTTATCTTTAGATTCAAATAAATTAAAACTATAAACCAAAAGACAAGGCAAATACATCACCTTTTTGCTGTTAGGCAAACGTCACATTACCCATGATATTGGCACTCTAGACTGTGGTATAAATAACAATATGCCAATTCATGTTCTATGTATCTTAACTAGGCCAGACGTCATTGACAGGATTGTGAGGATATGTTGTTTTTAGTGTGAGGACACATACAGTGACACACATCTATACCTAACATTTGATATCATTGCTTTTGCATCAATCAGAGCGCTAAGCCAGTGTTGTGTAAGGACAAACAGGAAGGTGACTAAATGCTCACTGAAGAGACATTAATGCTTTAAATCTGCCTACCTCACAGCATCAGGCTGCAGCATAGGGAAAGACCTGTACATTCACCCCTGCCAAAAATAAAACTCTGATGTCAGGTACTGTACATACCTTCCCACCCACGAGGAGTGACGAATCAGAACTGCAGTGAGGTGAAGATCCTGCTAAAATGTACGGAATGCAAGTCACCGATCTGAGGACATCTTCCTCTTTTAGCTTCCCGGAACAAAGTCTAACTTTTGGCTACAAGTAATTATGGGATAATCCTAAATGCTTTGTTTGGCATTAAGCTAACGGTATCATCACAGTGTCATAGAGTAGTGTTCACCTTGAGCAAGGATACTTTTCGCTGCTTATAACTTTTCATTTCTAGAGGAATGTGCCATTTCTTTCACTAAACGCTTTAATAGTCTTACTTTAAGGCATCACAGATCCACTGGGATCCGTTTTATAATAGGACTCCGGGCGACTGAAGGTTGAATAGTTTGTGTCATTCAGCGTTCTTGTCACATTGAGTTTTTACAATAATGCGTGGCTGTCAGCAGCTTGAATGAACTTGAGGTGTAAGCTTCAAGATTGACATTACAGTCAAAAGCAACGCTGACAGTTAAAGGGCAGTATTACGCCTAAAGCGTTTAAGAGACACTGCATCAGGCGTAGGACATCTTCAAATATAACATGCCTTCCTCTCTGAAATCTGTGCGTACAGCTCTGTTTGGGTGAGGATTTAAACGGACTCACTGTGACTAAAAGGGGAGATTCATGTCAAAACGTGCAATTAGATGTTTCTCCCATTATATAGTAGTAAGAATCTCAGTGGAAAATGGTTTAGCTTGAGCAAAGACAGAATATCTTGAATACTGCTATGTGATAACATCATCTTTCTCACCATCCCTGTGTGACTACTTAACCTTGTCAGCATATTTTTGCATATTTGAATGCCATTATCGTCACCAGTAATAGGGTGATTTTGTCAAATTAACTGCTAAAACCACCTTAACTGTGACTAGAAAGAACCGGGCTTATTAGACTCAGGCATATCTTTCTGTTGGCCAGACTGCATTCTTCGCTCTAATCTGAAATAATGAGGTCAGTAATAAGGTTACACTCTCTGACTGCTCGGTGTGAGTCCGAGGATGAACAGGGCAGTCTGGAAATTGGAGTAGGTTTGACATCAGGCCCGTATGGCAGTTGTGTATCCTGCTGCGATGTGAATGCTGTAGCCTCATGCTGCGAGCAAAGCCCCACAGGAGCCTCGGACCAGTGGCGATCCTATCAGATACTACTTGAATGTGTTGTTCACTGAAGTTTGAGTATCTGGAGGGAAATTTCCAGACATTAGGAGAGATACAAGTTAGTGCAGCACATGTTAGACAGGACGGAACATTAAAAGGAAAGGAACAACAAACCTTAGTGAATATAGTTATCCTTATAAATGAACAGCGGCCTAGGATATGTAAAAGGGCCATTATAGGTGGTTATATATCCGGAGAAATCTGTTTCTATTAACTGATGTCAGGAGTGATATATTACTTATTTCATTAGCAACCCCAACTTCAACATCTAAGAACAAAGACATATTTGATTTTTGATTTATTATGCAGACAGGTAGTGAGAATATATCATCAATTCATTAATCGTATATATTGTGTAATGTACCGTAGTCATCCGTATATCCTTCCGCTGATTGGCTAAATCGGTTGCTAGGTCTCCTGCTTTACGTTTTAAAGCATGTCAGTATGCCAATTGATCTTGAAACCAATAAGTTATTAGTGATAATTCTTTGATTTTCTTCTACTTTCTACTTTAAGGCTTTCAAATGTCATCAAACCATACTCAGAGCAGAGATATGTATACATTATTAACCATTCCTACAATCATATTCCTATGTTTTTATAATCTACAGTATAGTTGATTAATTTAGTGGTGTGTAGGAGAGAGGTGATCTCAAGGTGACTATGGAGTGCTCAGAAGCAGACAGATGCTTCTGTATACAGAGCGGACCAGCAGGACAACATGCATTAAAAGAGTCAAATATTCATCTTTACATGTAAAATAAATATTTTATGGATACACTGACAAGGAGGGAGGCCAGATGTTTGGGTCCCTAGAGATGGTTACAATATTCCTTTTTGGTGGGTCAAGTTCTGGTGGCTAACATAACATCACATCTGCGTGAAGCGATGAATGTAACCTTGACTGAAAAAGCTGAAATGTCAATGCCCCATTGTTCTTCATAGTTTGAAGTGGAATTAACTAAACTGGAGAAATACAGTCTTTATGATGCCCAAAAACCCTTTAATTGGCGTGATTCATTTGTATTTAGTGTATAATGAGGTTGAAGTATAAAGAAACAGACAAAAGAGATTCTCAGGGTTGTACTTCTGTATTTAAGTAAATGTACTTATTGGTATGGATATGTAGAAATGCTGTATGTGGTGCTCAGGAGTTGAATAAACCAGTGTACGGTCTGAGATAAGACTCTGTAGGATGTAGCCTTCAGATAGGTGTGGGCGTCATCCATTCCCAGGATGTTTGATCCTTCACTGTCTGCATCCCCATTGCTATATGTGACTTGTATAAGACGAGACTCATACTTCAAAACATGCCTTCACTAAGTTGGATTGTGTTTAACAATCAGCCTAAGGAAAAAATGTTGAGTGCTTTGTAAAGTACATGAAATCGGTTCAGCCTACTACTAAGTCATTGGACCTCAGGTGGAAGCAATGGGAATTATAGTTGCATTGGAAAATGACTAATCTCTTTTAACTTCTAAAAAGGCTGAAATTCTCCAATCTACAGAAGCAGAGTGAATTTAGGGAGTAGATCAGATTACATTTGGTATTAGGCTGAAATGCGCTATCAGAAAAACAGACGCATGCAGGGCTACATCGCCCAGGGCTACAGGACAAAAGCCTTTCAGCTCAGATAAAAGAGCAACATGAAACCTGGTGGCAACATAGTGCAAAACAAGCTCTGTGTACTCTGTAGTCAGAAGCACTTATCTGAAACGACTTAATTTAATCATCTATTTAAAGAAGGGATGGTTGCTTGGTATTTTCAGTGTGGAAAGAAAATCAACCAGGAATGATCCCTGTAATCAATACACAGCAGATGCAAACGTGTCCTTGAGCAAGACGTTGAATCTGTAAAGCAGCTCAGGGGCTGAGGTGACCTCTGACCTCCCTGTGGAAGCACCCAGAGAATAAGTAGTTTGCTTTCGGATCAATAAAGTATTGCATTATCACTGAGTACTCCGTGTAGTGTCATATTATATTGTCTGCTGCTGTGATAAACCACAGCAAAGTCTGTCTAATTCACCACTCATCGGCTCTGAGTGGAAACTTGACCTTCCATTAAACGCCTCCCTTAATGATCAAATCAACCGTTAGAAGCGGGAAATTACTGCCCAGATTTGAAAGAAAAACGGCGTCCGCAATCAGCCAGCAACTTCCAATGTTAATGCCTTATGATTTTGCACTTTCTATTATATCGAGCTGACAAGTGTTATTGACTCAGTCCGCGGCGTCTCTTCAAAACTATTTAAAAGCGTTAAATTAAGTGTGATGGCTGCCACGGAGGAAGGCTAATGGGTTGGAAGGTTTCTCGAAAGGCGCTCCCTTTACCGCTCTCTGGAACATATGGAGATTTGCTCTCTGAACCAACACTGCCAAATTGGCTTCAACACAAACACGGCACACCCCAGAGGACCCTGCCCTTCTTAAGTGATTTACTCCCCTAAGCTTAGCTGTATGACGGCTGTAATTACAGGAAATTGAAACGGACCTTCGGTGGAGGAAGGGCCTGTCTGATTCTGAGTGTGCCTCAGGAGACGGCTTGACCGTGTGGTGAACGTGCTAACACCGCAGTTCTATACTATAACGCCTCTATGTGCTGCATGACATGCCAATCAGAACATGTAAGAAATTAGAAGCCAGGGAGAAATTAGTGTTGAAGAGACCTTTGATTTAGTGCCTGGAGGTAAGCAAAATAAGCTTAACAGCTCATTGTAATCTACTGCCACTCGCATTATGAAAACTGTCGTCCGGTCATTTGATTAATCAATTAATCAACTAATCGTTTCAATTACTCTAAGGATTCTGCATCCCTTCACTTCTATATCTTATTCAACACTCATCATTAAGAACATGGGTCTGTGCGTAAACATAAAAGTGCGTGAGTAATTGTGTTTGGGTGAGGGAGTGAATTAAGTGAGGGAGCGAGAAACTGTGAGTGGATAATGGATGATTCCGGTAAATAATTGAAAAACAGGGAATGAGCAAATGAGTGAGGGAGGGAAATAAAGATTGAGAAATTGATTTAATAAGTGAAAGATGAAGTGAATGAGTGAGTAAACAAGTGAGGAAGTCGAATATTAGCGAGTGAATGTGCTAATGAGTTGAGTAAGCAAATGAGTGTGACTAAATGAGAAAGCAAGTAAATTAATGAGTGAATGGCCTTATGTGTTTAGTAAGTGACTTGACCTGTATCCCAGGCTCACCTTTTGTTCTTCTGGACACTCTTCTTGTCCCTCTTGTTCATCACGGTGGGCACGCAGCTCGTGAGCTCGGTCCAGTCCGCGTGCAGCCCGCAGCTCCAGCCCGTGGAGAACCGGGAGAAGAGCCAGGAATCTGCTCTCCCGGGCCGGTGACAGGTGCATTTCCTCTGGCCGGCCATGCAGTCGCAGGGCTGCTCCAGCTGGATGTTCTTCACCAGGTGCCGCCCAAACGTGGTGCCGCCAGTCTTCTGGATGTGCAGGAACACCATCACATCATCCCCTCGGATTTTGAAATCGACGTGCCTGTCCAGGTTCCGCTCTGTGAAGTTAAATTTGGATGTTATTTTGGAGGGAAGGTCCTCGTCCGCCTCCGGCTCCGTGTAAACTAACTCAAACCCGGAGGAGTACCGCTGGAATAGCCCCTTGTCGTCACTTCTGAAGTAGCAGGTGTTGCTGTCCGCCGGGCACACATATTGGTAGCCGATCATTAAGAAGAGCACCGCCGCGATGGGGATGAAGATGAGTCTGTTGAACTTCTCCTCCATGGTGGAAAACTGTAAATCACGCCGCCGGCACAAACGGTAACGTGATGTCCGAGTGTTGTTCCTCTCCCCCGGGTCTCATCCTGCCGCTTCACTGTCGGTGCTCCTGTCCCTCACAATCTGGACTTGTGCAAACATGTCCTGCAGGAGAGCTTTGACTGGCGTCGCACAAGAACAGGTCTGAAACTTGGAGCTTTCACGCAAAACATGCAATTATTTCCTGGAACATTTATGCATCTTTTTTCCTTGAATATGTCAAACTGGCGCCTTTGGAGACTTCACGACGAAACGGCACATCCCCGCCTGAGGAGCGTTCAGGCTCTGCTGTCCTGCCAGAGTCAACTGCTGATCGCTATCTGAGCCAGGAGAGGCAAGTTGGACAACATTAACACACGGACTTCCGGTCAGGGCTTTCACAATAACATCTTTACGCACACATCGTTTCACTTTCACATTAACATCTTTACGCACACATCGTCTCATTTAACAGCTTCCTTACAAATCGGATACATAAGGTAAATATCTCATTTTTTCCAAAATTTCTTATTTAGTCAGGAAAACAACAACCGTATCCTGAGTATCTCATCCAAATTGCAATAAAGCAATATTTCTAATTACATACATCTGGAATCTGAATAAGCATTTAATCACATAAACGTCTTAATTGCAACATAATTCTGTTGAGATCACATCTAATTTAATCAAATAAAGTGGGTTCACATTAATATTCCTAGTTTGGTTGCAATGTTTGCTAGGTTACCATTGAAAGCATTATTCTTATTGGAGAGCAAGCCCAAATCTGTCAATGTTAAGTCTTATTATTGTGTGTAATAGTCATAGGAGTCCCAGACATTTTATATCATATGTAATTAAACAAGTACATACATGTTTCTAAATGTAATTTGCTCTCAAGTGTCATAAAATCCAAAGTTATATACACTTCTAATACCTATTTTGAAAAGGCACGTTTTTTTTGCCCTGAGCCATTAACCAGAGAGGAGAAGCTAATTAGTCGAATCAAATAGTTTATTTAACTCCTACACGTTAAGCAATGCTTCTATTTTGAAAACCGAAAACTCTGATTACCGGTTTTGTTTTTGCTGACTTCATTACATCTGCGCCAGTCATCTGTCCCAGCTGCCTATCCCGTGACGCAATCGAATCTCTAATCACACACACACACACACACACACACACACACACACACACTTGCAATTTGAGCGGCCTCGAACAACTGCTGATGGAAAATCATTAATTCCAATAATGTAGAAAGCATATATGGACTTAAAGCGGAAATTATGTAAACAACTGTGATTTATTTGCAAGTGACTTATTTAATTTATTATATACTAAATACAGTGACCTAAAAGTACAAACTGATCTGCATTGTATATGTTTATTCCTTATGGTTCTATTTTAATGCTGTTATGATTGTAATATTTTAAGAAATAAGCCTCAGGACTGACCCTAGTGTATCTGCATAGTGCAAATAGAAACTATGGTGTATATATGTGTTATAAAGTTATAAAGCAGATCTAAAAGTGTGAAACCATGATTTAGGGGATTTTAGTTCCCAAGCCAGCAGGAAAGAGTTAATCCTCAAGCGAGCTGCGAGTCGTTTCAGCACCATGGACAGATTCCAACATGTCAAGTCAATAATTGGCATTGTGTGTGTGTGTGTGTGTGTGTGTGTGTGTGTGTGTGTGTGTGTGTGTGTGTGTGTGTGTGTGTGTGTGTGTGTGTGTGTGTGTGTGTGTGTGTGTGTGTGTGTGTGTGTGCCTGCAATTCCGTCATCATCCCACATAGGTTCTCATATACCCCTGGAACAGACTTAAACACGTGACGCAGTTGAATTCACAGCTCTATATGGACATAAAGGCAAGAAATAAAGACATTTATCCCTTAGTAATGGATTCTCTTTAAGCTTCCACTGATAAAAAGCTTTTGTTATTTTGCCTTAAATGTCCCTCCATCAAGGGATTTAACCAGCATGCACTTTGGTATGTATTCTATTCAATCCTCTTCCTGCACTTTGCCCTCTTAGACTTAATCTGTATGCTGGAGTTTAGTCTGGGGCTCACCTCTCTCACCATTCCTTATTGAGGTGGGGACATGGAAGGAATTGTTATGGGGTCAGGACAAGACATATCTCATTTTCTAAAGGCCATGCAGAAGCGAACTGCTGGGCATTAGATGTGTTGCCCCGGTGATGATAACACCCCGTGTCAGCGTGCTCTTTACCTGCGAGGCCCCCTCCTCCTCCAGATATGATTTAGCGAAAGAAACCTTTTCCACAAATGGCACGCTGATTAAAATCTGAACAGAATCCCTGATGGGTAAGAATCTGCATTAATGTTTTGTGCAGCGAAGCGAGCCTTGTGTTGTTCTGGCTGTGCAGCATGGGATATTTACGAGGTCCCTAACGCTCGTAGTGAGCCTTATGAGAAATAACCCCGGGAAGTGCTGACTCATCCACAATGTACAGGACTCCCAATAATGGAACTGAGGCTTCCTGGAAATTATGATTGGATTGCTGTGGGATTTCTGTTTATCTGTTTTGGTCTTTTTCATTTCCAGCGAGGTCCCGGTCTGATGCAACTGCAGATGTGTGTGTATTATTGGAATTAGTATTGATTTTAAAATGATGCTGAGAAAGTTCACTTTTTGCAGTGGGACCTCTGGTGAGCTGGGAGTTTCCGAGCATTTCTAGGAAATGAGCAGCCTGAGACACTGTTAAGGGAAGCAAATAAATGTAAAACTGCCGTACAAGAGAAATCGGGGACATTTAAAGGGGAAAAAGAACTGTGGGGCATTACAGCTGCTGTTAGAGAATGAAAAATTATCCAAAACTTAACAGCCTTGAGAAAGATCTGCCTCTTGCTGCTACTTCTCCAGGTTATTGAGTGGAATATAAATGAGGATAAGGCACATACAGAGTGTGGAAGATGGTAAAACGTGTACACATACATAAAGGGAAGTCGCAGCATTTTTTTACTTAAATGTGACAAAGCCTCATCGTTATCAGATCTACAGGTGGAGGCTGCACATGTGCTGTCATGGTGTGCAGATGGCGGTGCTGTCATGGCGACATCGGCCTCTTCCTCCTCCGTGTGTGGTGTCAGACTCCTCACCTGCCCACTAGCTGCTGTCACTGATCACCTGATGGTCACATGACCGCGCGGCAGCTGCTCACCCCTTCGTTAATCTCTATGTATAACGTTCTGTTTGTCAGGGGTTGCTGCATTTCCCTGTCTGTATTCTGACCCCTTCTGTCTCCGATAGACCTGTTGCTGATTATGGAGTCTGCTTATTGGTCTCTCTTCTTTCATCATGTCTTACAGGCGCTGGTTATACTGGGGAAAGTAACTGTTCTTATTTGTTGTTTTTAGCGTAAGAAAAAGCACATTTTACAAATTGCTTCCCCGATAAGCTTGTACCTATGTTGATTAAAGTGTCATAAAAACGAGAAATTAATCCAGCACACACCCAAGCATGGGGAACCAAAACGGCTGCAGCAGAAAGTTTGGAACATTGGAACAAAAAATAAATAATCAAAACCCATACTAACACTGTACCTTAAACATCATTGATAGAACAAAATGAGACATATTTAGGAATCATGGTTTCTCCTGCTGCTAGCATTGTAGCCACATTATTACCTAAGCTAGCTACTTTTTCTGCCTTACCTATTTAGAGCATTCTTAAAATATTCTTCTTGACATGTGTGGGAAGGAAGGAAGCATTGGACAGATACACTGAGATTAACATCCTCCGGCAGTGGCCCAGTAAGTAGGGGCTTGGACTGTGAGCCGTATCGCCGGTTCATGTCCCCGACCAGACCTAAATATGGACTTCTACTTAGAAAGATCCGAGTTCACCTCCTGCCCTGCCGTGGTGCCCTTGGGCAAGGCACCGGACATCCCCCTTCCCCCATCACTCCCATTGCTCCCCGGGCGCTGTACAATAGCTGCCCACTGCTCCTATTACTAGACTCCTGGTTAAAAGCAGAGAACACATTTCATTGTGTCACATGTGAGACCATTAAAGAGTGTTTCATCCCTCCCAATTATATTCTCAAACATTAGGTAGTCACTTTAAATCTTTCCCTCTGAATATTTTAAAAAGTGATTCACAATATGTTTCTATGACCAAGGAGCAGTCAGTACTCCTTTGCTTCATGGTAGAAATGTACACTTCCATTTAGATTGTGATCATATTGTTAGATGCCATTGAGCATCCTTGGTTTCTGTAAACTGACAACTCTGGCCGTTAGCCTGGGCTCCATGCGGCGTGTGTGACTGTAGATTTGCGAACTCTCCACCACAGGGAGGCGGGCCCTCAGACCTGCAGTGCAACGCGGCACCACGCCAGCCTGTGCCGGACCCCCACCACAGCCCTGTCCAAAACCCTTAATCAAAAGGGACACTCTCTCCACTTGGTTCCCCGATGAAAAGGAAGCTGTTGGCCCATGCAGCGCACCTTGGCAGCTCCACAGATACAAACCCAGATTGGTCTAATCTCCTCCACAGTGCGAGGACATTGGAGAGGAGGCCTGTGATACAATCTGTATTTTCTAGCAGGTAATTTTGCAAAGCAGGGTTGATGTTTCCTGCTGTCGTCTCCTAGAAACAGGGTCTGTTTGTCACTTCCATCAGACGCTGAATCAAGGCGCTAAAGGAATGTCAGAAGGAAAATTACTGTAATTTCCCTCCTCGAAATTGATGGTAGCATTGTTACCCCAATGTTAAGGTCTACTTTCTCAGCCTGCTGTGCAATTTCACTGCAAAATACACCACATGTGTCTAATTTAATTTAACACTTGTCGTTGTCAATTTGAAGTAACCAAGGATATCATTTTCATTTCCAATATGGTGCTATAAAAGTAGAAGTTCAGGTTTATAGAAGTTTTTGTATTGAACTTTTATAGTTTTACCCGTATATGTAATAGGGCAATATTAATGACTAAGATGACTTGATTATCAAAAGGGTTGGTGATTGTCTAAACCCAAAACATCTACTTAAAGGTTTAGCTTAAAGGGGCCCTGTTATAATATTACAGCTCTTATATATTAATATATATCAACAAACTATTACAAAAAATACAGAGCCATTTTCAAATACTCATTACTTACTCTGCAAAAAACCCAATTGTATTCACATAAAAATAGATTAACAACAAATGTGTTAAAGTTAAGTCATATATACACATTTAGGGATCCATTTCTACATTTACGCAATGCTTCCTGTCAACCAATGTGCGTTTGTGTGAATGTTAATTATCAAATTAACATTCACACAAACGCACATTGGTTGACAGGAAGCATTGCGTAAATGTAGAAATGGATCCCTAAATGTGTATATATGACTTAACTTTAACACATTNCACACACACACACACACACACACACACACACACACACACACACACACACACACACACACACACACACACACACACACACACACACACACACACACACACACACACACACACACACACACGTTATCCCCAGCATCCAGTAGACCAAAGGGTTGCACTGAGGTTCCATTAGAGTGATTCTCACCGTGAGCTCCTGAACCTCATCCTTCCTCTCCGGGAGGATGCTGACGCCCCCTGCTGGTTTCTTTAGAGATCGCTCTGCAAACTGCTTCTCCATTTTTCTGGCCAATTCACTGATTTTGTTCTCTAAAAAAAAGACATTTAAAGAAATGAGAGCTGCACAATATATCAAAAATATATCGTTATCGCAATATCAACTTTTGCAATAGACATATAATGCAAATCAATAAATGGTCAAGAGAAGCCCACGCTAAATGTCCCAATTGAATGATTTCATAGTGAAGTTATCATTCATTTGCTGCATGGTTTAAACTGACTGGGAATAAAGCTACCTTTGCCAACGTTTCTCTTTTCCACGTTTCCGTTCTGATCTTTGAAACTCTGTAGGCGTTTGGGGTCGATCTGTTGCAGCTCGCTGACGTCCGACCACTCGTCCTCCTCATCGCTCTCTATCTTTGTGACTGTGGTCTTGGTGACACCGCCCCCCGACCCCCTGGTCTGCGGGGGGTTGGAGGAGAATGAGGTCCTGGATGGAGCCTGAACTGACTGGACCGGACTGGCTCTGATCTGGGTCAGGTTTAGTCTGGGCTGTGGGGATTTGCCCCTCTGCGTTTTTTTGGGCGGTTCCTCCTCCATGTCTGTGTCCTCTTCTTCCGATTCAGCATCGGAACTGAAAGGAGGGGTCCTAAATAATCACAGAAACAAATTATTAAATTATATAAAATATTAAATCATACCTTATTCTTCCTTCTACTCTTCAGCCCAGACTCAGACTAGCTCATTATAAATGGGTTCGGGTTAGAGTTAAAGAATGGCTAAATGATTTATAGTCTTAGGTCATATCAAATTGTTCCTTTCTAAATGTACAAAGTTAATCTTGAAAGTTAGGTTTTATTCATGGAATGTTACCTCCTCCCACAGCTCTCTAAGTACTTTCTCAGACATCAATGTAAAACTACTAGAAGCCTTTCCATGTTTTACACAGTTTTTCTTTACTTCGATGCGAACGTCTTCAGAGTGCTCTTGGTGTTGGGTGTAGATGTCTTGGGTTGGGTGGTGGTCTTGGTCCTCGGTGCCGGCTGGGGGGTCTTGGACTGTTTGACTGCAGGTTTTGACATCACTTGTGTATCTCTGGAGGGCAGGCTGCTGGATCGAGGCCGGATCTGCACCACTACACAGAGACAAAAACGCCTTATGTAAACAGAGTTAGCGGATCAGACGCTGGCACTTTGCCAGAGCTCAAGGCGGCTTATGTGGTGGTTAACAACCGATTAGACAGACAGTATAAGACATACACACTGTGATGCCCCTGTGGGTTCATCTGGAGAGGGTGTGGCTGTGCTGTGCCCAGCCTTCATTGCAGTAACTCAGGGCACCTGTGTCTGGTGCTCTGCTCCTTTCTGTCTCTCTCTGCTTTTTCCTACAGGCACCCGGTTCTGTTGAGTATGCTGTTTGTTACTTTAGTTGCTTTACTTTGTGCACCTCAACACCCTCACACATACACGTCCATGCAACCCTCACCCTGCATTTACACCACTGACGTCCACACCTCATGCTTTACTCATTTTTGCACTTCATTAATTTGGTTAATTTGAATTGTTTGCTTAAATAAACATATTTTATTAACCGTTGATATGGTGTGTCTCCCACTTTGTTGTGGCCTTTCTAGCCAGGGCATAACATGGTGGCTCGTCCGACGGGTTATTTTGTAGAAAGTTTGGTTAAAAGTTTGTGTGGTGCTCAGAGCACATGGTGTCGTTGAGCAGCTGATTAGTTGATGTGGTCCAGCCACTGGGGGACACATCATGTCTTTTGTAGGGATGTAACGATACCAAAAACTAACGGTACGATAATATCGCAATAACAAGTCCACGGTACGGTATTTACTCGGAAAATGTTTCTTTATTACATAATAAATCTGATTTTTACAGCATTTTAGTAGGATAGCAGTATTTTAAAGTGTCAAAAACAAAGTGACAGTAACGGACAACAGTGTTCTTGGAACAAGAAAACCAGTGTTTTTGTACCTACTAGTACTACCAAACAAAGTAGGCATTTTCTTTGTGCCACTGCATCTCACAAATAAACAAGGACATTTAATAATCAGACCCTGCAATAAAATAAATCAAGTTTCACTTAAGTTTTTCAAGTAACTCAACTCAAACTCACTAGTCATCAGTCAGGTTTTTAGGAATATGAGAATGTCCACATTTCCAGGTATTTATAAGCTGGGATGTTTGGGCATTTACAATATCCCCTGCTCTGGAAAAAACTCTCTCGCTTGGTACTGATGGGACAGCAGTGGTCGCGCTAACCGAATATTTTATTTAACAATGACGGAAAAATCTGAAAGCAGTCTGTCATTTTGACAGATTAGAACAAACCCGGAACAGCGCCAACGTTTCCCCGCAGCGAGGCTCTGGTGTTATGCCGTGTTATGCATGCCCTCCAAAAGGAAATGATATAGTTTCCAAACCGTACTTTGCCGTACAGATCAATACATGTCAGGGAGGTTTTGCTGTGCGCGCTCCCGCGAGGTGCATGCACACACGGCATAACACCGGCCCCCCGTTGACAGTTCACGGGCGTGCTCTCTCGTGAACTGTGCAGACCCGACGGGTAATAAGGGATTATGACGGATATTTTACGATCCTGTCTGTCAAAATGACGGACAGCGAAAAGGTCTAACGCCACCTCAGTGGGACGGAGAGATATGCTTTGGCCATGGGTGGAAGCAGTGGGTCAAACTTTGCATTGTCTTCACTTCAAAAATAATACAGATTTTGCCAAGAAGGTGAGGCTTATTGACAGGGCGAGATATAAATATACTGTTGGTACTTGTCAATGTCTCTAGGTGTAGCCCTGTAAATACCATGTCCTTTTGTGTTATCTGTTGTTTTATGTTCATGTTGTAACCTACTTGCTGCCATGTTGGACAGGTCTCTCTTGAAAAAGAGATCGATGATCTCAATGGGACCACCTGGTTAAATAAAGGTTTAAAACAAAAAAAAGTGTTTAAAAATAAATAAATAATTTGAAATCGCGGTCTCACGACGGTATTGGGACGTTTATTTACCGCGATATTCGGTATATCATTACATCCCTAGTCTTTTGTGTTTCAGGAAGCCTTATTGTTTGACATGGCGTCAGGTTTTGTGTGCCAATCAGAAGGTAACATTTTGCTGTTTGATACGCCTTTGTAAAGGGATTTCCCTGCTAGGCTTAAGTGGCGTTTCCCCTTTGGGTTGCGTCCGTTTGTTTTTTTCATAGTGTTGTGGCGACGTGGTTAGTGTCAGCTGTTTTCGGACAGCTGTCTCGGGGGCACGTCTGCATGATTTTCAAACCAAATACAAGGCACTAATGCAAAAGTGGCTAACAACAAGAAGCTGAACTTCTCCGTGAGGTTATAATTGGTCTGTGGGCCGAGTAAGATCTTAGAGAGATGATCTCATGTGCTTAGAGGCTTCTCCATGACTCACCTTGAACTGGCTGTCTGGCTCTGGGCTGGGACACTGCAGCAGGGTCGCTGCCTCTCCTCTGACGGGCCACCCTCTGCTCCACAGTGCTGCTGATCTCCTCCCGATAGCCCCAGTAGTGAGGCATCCCCTTCGCGGCGCTCTCCCGCTTTGAATGCGCCTTGGCCAGGATGGAACTAAGCTCTTTGTCCTTTAGACCACACTGCTCCTGAGAAGAAGACACAAGTATAAGCAATGGTAACAAAACAAGTAGATTAAAAGTTCTACCTTCCTAAACTTTTATTTGTGTACAATACTTGTTTTAGCCTTGTGCATCCCTTTTAAAATAGTAGCTCTGTTTTCTTTAGAGGACCAAAGTGTCAGAAATTGCTGGAAAATAATATTACTATTTTTTTGTCTATCTTCACCGAGTTAAAACTTAAAACATCAGTCCTGATCCTAACTACCAAATGGTCATTTCTTTTTTTGAATTCTAACCCTTAATTTGACAGTTGTTTACATAATATTACAGTTAAGACAAAAACTGCAATTATTATCTGTATGATAGGGAGACCCTTTTCTCACATTCTGGGATATCAGCAACAACATTGATTCTTATGCATTGCATCAAACTAATAATACAGCAGCATAGCAGGCGATGGACCTATACGACACACATGAGAAACTGGCTCAATCTGCTGGAGAACAGAAACATTTACAAATTGGAAAGCGCCTAATAGTCGTGGGTTTCAATGGGGACATCTTGGTGCTAAAAGATTTCTGTATGGGGCTACAGAATTTATTATAAGAGCTGAGGATGAACTTCCAAAATAAAAACATTCAAAAACAGCTCGCACCCATGCCCAATTGTTTGCCATATAGATGAACCCAGCCAAAAATGTAATCAAAAGTGTCCCCAGCGCTGCTTAAGAGTGTGCACTTACAGGCTTGACTCCCAGGTTCTCCAGCTTCTCCATGACAGCCTGCTCCAGCTCTGGCCTCATCTCCTTCTTGAGGTTGGGGTTCCTCTTCAGAGCGCTGATGTTCACTCTCTGTTTCTTCTCCGGTAGCGGCTCAGACTTCTTCTCCACCGGCCTCCTCTCAGAGAAGCTGCTCGAGTCTGTGAAGGAAAGATCACTTAATCAGCCATTTATGAGAAATCAGGCTCAACTTACAGGCAGCGAGAGAGAGGCCAAATGAATGAACATGCATTTGCCAACTGTCACAGCAAGCTAAATGCCAAACGCTTGTATTGCTGGATGGGTGGGGCAGGCAGAAGAGGAGAACGTCTACAAGTCCATTTGCCACGAACAAGATGACGGATGGATGTAATGATCACGAGTTCTGAGCAAGCGCCGATGAAAGTCACAGACAACAAGCTTGCTTCTCCAACAGGCTGATGCATCCATGCAGACAGCATGCAGTCGGCCGGCTGTGTAGCTTTGACTGCCTGTTTTACCTTTCTCCTCCTCTGACAGCTCCTGTATAGGATCCAGCTTAGGAGCCGACGCGGGCTCCTCTAATTGGACACCACGTGACGTTTGAAGGTCAATAAAGGCGAGGGAGTCAGTTAACATGTGTTTTTATAAAAGAAGGGGGTAAATGTGGGGACAGTTTGCTTTGTCTATCATTCATGCATGAAAGCACATGCTCGGCTTTGTTGGTGAGACCTTTGTTTTCTCATGAAAGCTGGTTTTTACTAACTTACCCAGTACAACTCTCTTTGGTTTAGGGTCCGGGGCTGGTGCACTGAGGATGACTGGAAAACAGAGGACATGATGAATATCATACACGCACTTAAGTTAAGACTTTTATGATTCAAAGTAAAGGAGTTTATACCTGGTACTTCCACTATTTTTGTGGGTGGATTTGAGGAGAAATTCCTTATCTGTAAGTTGGAAAGAAGTACCACTTGTTACACCATGCATAAAGAAAACAATCATTCTTCTTTTGGCTTGGTTATATTCATTAAGATCTGGGTTAAGTTACCGCTAAGACAACATTTCCAACTGCATTCAATGAAAAGCTTTAAACTGTTGATCTATGTGCCCTCTGAGTGCCCTCCATTGACATTTTGGTAAGTTCACTTAAAGGGGTTCCGATTATTCTCAGTTTCATATTTGTATTTTGTGTGTTCTGTGACACACTTCACTCGTGGGAAAATGTGGATCTATTCCAGGAGAATCACCAGCTTCCTGTCACGTGTACAGTATCTTCATGTCTCAGTACAATACGATCGGAGCCCGTGAAGCTAATAGAGGATATCCTGAACGAGGGCTGACCCTCCGCCTCACTTCCTCCCCCGACATAATCACAGTGCGGGGGGGCGGTGTTGGCTGTGTGAGTGTGATGGAGCGCTGACCTGGTCCCTCTGAGCCTTGATGGTGTGCTCCTTGTCCTGCAGCCTCCTCCCCAGGTCTTGCTGCAGCCTCTGGCGGCTCTCCTGCTGCTCCGACACCGACGACTGCAGTCTGCTCAGCTCGTTCAGCAACTGCAAGGTGGAACAAACGAGATGCTTTTTATGGATTCTTATTTTCTAATTTAAGCTTTCTAAATATGTTTTTATTGTAATATTTTAGTTGGCGATTTTTTTTTTGGTCGATTCCCCCTTCTTCTTTTTTTTTACCAAGGAAAATAATGAATTATAAGAAAATATGAACAACCTTTCAGCCCTTCTTTACACTAACTTTGAATGAGCACAAACTCCCCAATAAAATGTATTTTACAAAAGCCGGTTTGTAATAAATATACAAAACAAGCTTTTAGTTGATGCTTCTAAAGGGGCATGAAGATTAAGGATGAACAGAGACTCACTTTTCATGTCAACACACGGAGCAGATCACCGTGAATAACTTTAAAGCTATGTTAGATTGCCTCAGTCGGTTATCCAATCTCTTGAAATGAAGGTCAGCTGTTAGATTTTGCTCCTTATATGACATTTAACGTGACCTTTGCAAGTCAAATAGCTCAGTATAACACATTGGCTAGTGTTATCAGTACATGTCACCTTATTTCCCCCAAAGAGAAAACAGGGCTTACATAGGCCGGTGCATCCCTCCTTTTAATAAGACCTACCTTGTTCTTTTCAGACTCGTGCAGGGACTTGATTTCCTGCAGCTTGGATCCCCACTTTTTCTCCTAGAAGAGAACATTTGTCTTTTTAGTGTACTCAAACAACTGTTTCAAAGCGTGTCTCCTCTCTCCACTGACCTGTTTCTTCATCTGATGTTCCAGCTTGTGTATGGCTTGCGTCTGCATCTCTTTGTAGTTGTCCAGACCTCTCTCTGGCTGCGGTTGCACAGGGCTTGGTGGTATTTCGTGCTTAGCCGTATGATTCTGATTTACTTCCTGATGAAAAAACAGGTATGAATAAATGACATCCTGAAGACCAAATGAACACCATGAAGAAGTCATTATCCAAGTGTCCCTTTCATACATTTAGAGCCTGTATATTTCGTGTGTAAAGGAATTCCATCTCCCTGCGCATGCCGTCCCTGCTGTCGTCTATCTTTCTGTCCATGCGCGCCATCTCCTCGGCCTTAAAGCGCTCCAACTCTCTCAGCAGCTCCTTTTGCATGGACTGCTGCTCTTTCTCCTGGAATCACAGCAACATAAAAGAACTCTGTTACTATAAAGGTAGAAACCCAAAATATGATTATTTTGTTGTTTTACTGGAGAGTGTGGCCAACAGCCCGAAAGGTCAATTGTTCAGATCCTTCCCAAAGGTCAGGCTTTCCTACCTGAACTATTTTGGCTTGCAAGTCCTGTTGCTGCTGATCGACCTGCTCCTTCAGACTGTTGATCTCCGCTCGGAGGCTTTCATTCAGAGACTTCTTCTCACTCTCTGAACGCAAATCTGGAAGGATGTAAAAGAAAGGTATTGTACAACATTGTGATGTGCAGGAATATTCCATGTTCTACCTTCAATTTACAACAGATATGTATACAAATAAATGGTCTTGCCCCATCCTTAACATGTGTAATGCTTGTGATTTACCTGACTCCTACCTGTTTTTTTTTATTTACTGTATAATAATTCTCTCCCTGTCTCTATTCTTAAGGTCTCAGTAAACCTTTATGACTGCTCCACTCACCGGTCTCATACTCGCCAGGGTGGCGACGCTGCATGTGATTCTGAAGAAACGTGGAATTGAGGAAGGATTTATCACAATGTGGACACTAAAAGACACGGAGAAAATACATTCATGTATTACCGTATAACGGGAACAAATGTGACCATGAACTACAAGAAAATGTAGTTTAAGTATTGTAAACACATGTTTGCTAACAATCCAACGCGTCACATTTTAGATAGATATATTTTGAACTACGACTTGCTAATAATTCCTAAGAGGTAAACTACTGAGTGTGTGTCATTAGTTTGGGGCAAAGCTGACGATGAATCTCTTTCAGGATGGTCCGCTGACTGTAGGCATGTTTCCAAACCGACAGATAGCGTGAGTGATGTTGATTTGTTCCCCGAGGCAGGCGTCCCCACACTCCAGCTCACTGACAATTCACTACTAGAGTAGACGCTATGTTCTACACATCACACGCTACATTAACCTAAGCATCTCATTGTGCCTGTGACTTCATTCAATGTTAAACCTGCTGCTACTGATATCTTGCCACACCATATGGCCCCCAAGATCCAAAGCCAGTCACACGACATGGAAAAGTGTGCCGCGATGAGTAACTCTGTAATTGATTACATTAGGGTTTGGAATAACTGTGGAAATCGGGAGAGGAATTAAATTAGCCTTGAGCGCTATGTGTGTGTTTTTGTAGTGTTAACACATGATAAGCAAGTTATGTCCTCAAAGCTCAAACACATAACCTCTCTATCAATTATTGAACCACCTGTTAGCTGAGCTTCTACACACACCTAGCAACCACATGCTGTCATGACACACTATATCTGTTGCGTTGGTAACCGCTTGGATAGGTCAGGTACACTTGAAGACCAAAGAAGGGTTTTTGATTTGTGCTATAAATAACTTAATGTTAAGTGAGCTTTGTAACAGAAACTATATGTATTCAACAACACTAAATTATCTACAAGTCATGTTTATAAGAGGGTGGGGGAGATGTCAGACGGTGTCTTGGCTACTCACCCTATTGTAAGTGGATTAAAAAAACAACTAATTGCCACCATATGACACCATCTGTTCTGCAGCTCTAAATCCTATTCTTCCCAAAATAAGCTTATTAAAACCTCCCCACAACAATAAATTGTCACCTTTTCTATTTTTTCCCTCCAAACCCTGAATGCACAAAGCAGCCGAAGCTGTGAATAGATCTTGGGAACAATGACAGACTGGGGGCCCTGAGGAGGAGGAGCGATGGGGGTGGGGGTGATGGAGCTGCTTGCCAAACATATGTGAAATGCAAATGGTAACCGATAACCCCCAGAGTGAGCGTTTAGTGTCAGCGGTACCTTCTGTCCACTGATGATTCTGGGCGGGATCAGGGACTGCTGGTTGCGAATCAGCTTCTTCCTCTGCTTGAGCTCGGTGGTTAGGGTCTTCACCTTCTCCTCATGCTTATTCTGCTGAGCCAGCAGCTGCTCTCGATCGCTGGCAGCGGCCGCCAGCCTCTCCTCGGCCGCTCGCAGGTTGAGGGTGAGAAACTCCTGGCAGTGGAGGAGCCACTCCACTGTGAGCTGGGCCAGCCGCAAGAGCTTGATTAGAGCTGGGTCCACGGGGCTCTGGCAGCGCTGACACCGCTCCCCGTCCAAGCTGCAGAAGGTAACGCCGCTGATGTGCTCTTGCAGGGCGTCTACATCCAGCTGGCTCACCACCAGGTCGATGTCCACAGCATTGATCCGCCGCCAGTCCACGCTCTCCCTGCGAGGGCGGAACTTGAAAGGCAGGTTGATGGAGGCTCCGCTGGACGGAGTCATGCTGGATGCAGGAGCAGAGTGGCCGTTTACAGAGGGGTGGCTGAGAGGGGAATTCAGGAGGGAAGGGATCCCTGCTGATGAGTGGGTCCCTTGGGTGTCACCGGTGAAGGGGTAGTATGCTCCGTCGTGAAATGGCTGAAACAAAGGGCACAGAGATTTTGAATAGCCAGTTAAAGAATATGCAAATCTCATTTCATATCAGCAGCCATAAGAAAGAGATTCAGAGAATATACAGCATCTGGTGTGTGTTGGCAAGGTAAAACAGCAGATTACACCACTGCCGATTCCATCCCAATCTACCTATGATGCTGTCGCCGTCCTGACGCCGTGCTCTCCTTACCATCATCGACTGGTAGTGCCTTCACGGGGGAGAAAGAAATAGAAGCACCGTCGTTGCTCTCCGGGTTCCGCCCCCTTTGCAAGCAGTCGCGCCGGGGCAAGTTACCATGGAGACAGAGACGAGCGTCCCTGTGGAGAAAAGTGTTATCAAAACACTGGCTGCAATCAGCAAATGTTTCCTTACAGTGTGTGGGAGATGGGCTGTGTCCTGTGGGAAACACAGCAATGCGTCTGAAAGCCCCTCACTTGACTGAATCTGTGTGAAAAACTAATGTACCTGCGAATGAGCACTAGGAGGTTTTTACGGCAATGGTTTCCTTGCCAACTGCGAACGCCGATAATCTCTCTCATGTTGGGGCAGGCTGTTTATCCCCTTGCTTGACCTCAACTTAACAATTGCACACATGCTTGAACTTGTCTGAGCAACTTTTAAAAATGCATTTCTAACACTTTAATGCTAATGTAAGTATACAACCGTTCACAAAATGCCAGGAAGGTTAAGCGCTTATAACGGCTCATGCATTTCAAACCCATTCTTAGCTAACGGACATGTTCTAGTGAACGGTATTCGGCAAAAACTTTAAACAGCGAAGCTAAAACTAAGTTATACATCACCAACAGATGTGTATATCACAGTTTAAGATGTATTTTCCAGGACTTTATTGAAAAGACTTACCTGAGGGTTTGTTTTCTTATGTTACAGCCTCTAGAAAAGTTTTTTTTTACGACGGGACCCCAGGCGTTTTGAGGGTGACGTAGATGCTGGTCTCCACATTCCTAAATCGCTGCTTGCAAAAAAGAGGGAGCATCAAAGCTAACTGTGATACAAGCATGAACTTCCGGTGAATACCTTAAAAATAAAACGAAGAGTTCTTAAATAACATTCAGTGAGGCGTTTAATTCATAGCTAACAATGGACAATTGCAAAGCAGACACACGTGTCTTGAAAACCTTATACCTATAAAGTTGAATAACTCTTAAATAATTTAAACAATAAAAAAAGTGTGGGACTAGCTGTGATAATGTGGTGTGAGGTGAAGCATTTATTAAGAATTCTTCCTTAGTGAACGTTGATTATCAGGACATTACATATATAATTACGAACAAAGAATTTCTAAACAAAGCACTTATATACTGATAAAGGACTGGCTTATCTAAAGCCAGTTGAGTAGTACTTGAAATGTTTTGGCTCTATGAAACCTGATGTACTTATATGATTCTGTTTTCTTCAAGTTTGTATCTTCCTGGTCGAATGCACTTATTGTAAGTCGCTTTGGATAAAAGGGTCAGCTAAATGCAATGTAATGTAATGAATTCTAAAATGTGTTTTGTTTGAGGTTTGCAAAGAAGGACTATTTATTGAGTCAATCGTCTATCACAAAAAATCATTTAGTAGTTAAAGTTATGATCCTGAACTTTGGAAAATACTATGATGAAAAAAAATCATGCCCAACCTTTACTTTGAGTGCAAATCGGCTCACTTCCGGTGGTGTTGGGGGGGGTGTTGTTGAGTCGACTTGACGCAGCTCGCAGAAGGAGGGGGGAAGGGAGAAGCAGACCTCTGGGCTTTGAAATGGAGAAACGGGGAGTCTGAACACCGGGATGAAGGGGTCTGGGTTGAAGAGGGTCCCAGCTTCACGGAGGGAAAGTCTGAAAGCTGAATAAAATGTGATTACAACGTTGAAAGCATAGCACGTGTGGAAACAACCATCAACACAGCTCGAGAGGGATGAAAGGGAAGATTTGAAAACACTTTGACACGAGCTCCCTCTTGTGGTTAAACGTTTTATTGAATCATCATGGGAAATGTGTTTTTGGAAAAAGTATTTAGATCTTGTACTTTGGTAAAAATAAAAAAAGCAGAGTCTACAACTCTCTACAACTCTCTACAACTAAAATTCTTGCATTGAAATGTTACTCAAGAAAAAGTACAAATGTATTTGCATCAAAATATACTTAATGTACCAAAAGTAAAAGTACTCAGATTGGTCCATTTCAGAATACGATATGTTTTGATTATATTTATTGATGCATTAAAGCTGGTAAAGGTGCAGCTAGTTTTTATGACTTAGTTTACTGCAGGGTAGTCTCTGATATTGTAATATTATTAATCATAATAAGTGTGCTTGACCCAATCATAACAACCCCCTGCCGGCACTACTTTGAAGATGGGTAAATGACTCGGACCCTAATTTACACAAGTGATACAAAATAAATTATCACTAGTTAAAGTCCTGAATTTGTGATCTTAATTAAATAAGTGTTATCAGCAAAACGCAGGCTACTTCAGAAAAAGTAAAAGTTAAGGACCAAAAAGCCCTATTTTATCAGTTTTCATGTGATAACAAGTTAATACAAAAAATTCCTTCGTTAATTTATCTTGAAATAACAAATAAGACTTTAATTTCCTTGAGATAATGACATTCATTTCCATTTCACAAGAACACAATGTTTCATGAAATGTAACAGCTGTTGTATCTCATTATCTCAGAATAACAGCATTTGTTATTTCGAGCCGATCACACAAATTACTTGTGATCTTGAGAAAACTAATCACATCTATTTGCTATCACGGAAAAACACATCAAACACAAAAGGTTTGAACCATATGATACAGCTGCCGTAAAAAAAAACATTCACTTCTTTGTGAAATATTGGATAATCTGACCACTCATGGGCCTAAAACGATTATTGATATGAAAGAATGTGACTAGTTGGGGGGAAAAGGAGCCCTAATTTTGTTTTGAAAATGTAGGTCCCACTTTAAAAATGAGCTAATCAAAATGTCTGATGATGTCAGATGGGAGTGTAAAAAGTACAGCATTCATGGCTGTAGCAGCCACCATGTACATTTAGTCACCAACGGAGGTCAGTAGAGATCTGATCTGAGCTCTGCAGACTAGTATTATATGGAGGAGTGATGGCCGTTCCTCCCTCCTGTCTTCCCTCAGTGTCAGAAGAAATGCTGCCTACTGCTGCTGTGATGGAGAGCATCTGCAGGAGGCTACACACTCCCCGCTTTAATGGGCAGCAAAATCAGCGGGGAACATCCACACACACTAATGTCCGAGCACGCACACACTGCTGCTGCTTGTATTCAAGGACCAGTCCCAAATTGTTCTTTGGATGTTTCTTTTTAAGCATAAAATTAAAGATTGATTCGCATTCAGGGCAACACAGGCGCTGGCTCAGCACTAAAACAAAGTGAAGGAAAGAGTGAAGATGGGTTTTTTCTTTTTAATCACACAAGCTGACAAGAAACAGCCTGCATGGGCACGTCTCAGCATGTTGAACCCTCCGTCAGAGTCCCACTGCTGGGAGAAGCCATTTCCTCGGCCAGTCCCCAGACAGCTTCAGTCGAGTCCTGATAAATAGAGATTTTAATTCCTGCGAACAGGTCTTGTGACTGGCAGGATAGCCTGAGGGCGGGGGGGGTCTCCTCGCAGGCCGCGTTCACTGTAAAGACAAGCAGCACATCACAATGAGGCGAAGTTCAGCTGTAGGACAATATGCATGATGATCTGCTTGTTTCTTCCTTCTACTGCAGCAGGCCGGAGCCATGATGTTTACTTGAAAAATAAAATCCACACTTTTTTGATAAGCGTTTACCACAGCAAGAGACACGCGCGCGGGCAGAGAAGTTGCATTAGTCATGCAGTAAAAAGGAGCAGGGGTGTGTGGAGGAAGAGGAGCGGACCTCTTGAGATGAGTAAGCACAGCCCTACACTCAATTTACTGCTTGATTTACGAGTTCATTTCCTGCGCGAAGTTCTCAGCGGGGGTGAGGTGGTATATCTTTCCCACTATAGGTAGCTGTGGCTCCACTTCCCTATCCCCCATGAGACCCACTCTCACCACTCCGGGCCTTAGTGGGACTATAAATAATGGCCGCTGGAACAAGTACACATTGAACAAAGAGAGGAGAGGATGCCGAATCTTTATTCATGAAGGAGGTTCTTATCTTCCCCTGCAGAGGACGAGATGGATCTAGACCACTGTGCATACTGAGGCTCTGTGCACAGTTATTCTCACTGTGTTCCTGCTCTCAGATAAGCATCCAGAGATGTTTTGATGCTGTAAGGGTGAAAAGAAACCTTGATACAGCTGGTTTTTTTCATCCGTGTGCACATGCAGTTCATTATCAGGGAAGGATGCATTCAAATAAAGAGACTTTTATCTTTTAACATTAAAAAAGCAAGTTGAGCAAGAGAGAAATGCTGCTTCATTGATTGCTACAGAAGGTTTCTAATACTAATCCAACAGAAACACAGGTCACTAATTTACTGTAAAATAAGACAGGATTGCAGATAAGGGTGCATGTCAGTTCCATGGATTTTAGTATACACGACTAGAATCCAGACAAACAAAGTGCCAGCTCAGCAGGACCCTCACCACTGCCGCACCAACTTCAAGCCGAGCGGCATCCAGCCTACAACTGCCCACCGGTTTTCATCTCAGACACTTTGTTGTCTATTTCCAACGAGGCAGCCGCAGGGGTCACAAGTGGTGAATCAGCCTTGTGGGAAGGAGAGATTAAAGAGCGATACAGAGGGGGGGGGGGAGAGAGAGAGAGAAGCAACCCACCGATTCCTTTCATTGTCCCCTATGAGTGTTGCACAGGTCAGAAGAGGTACCAGCACCAAATAATTATATATAGCAGACAAATGACGAGGACCGCACTGGTTTTCTCTCGTCCTCCCACTGAGCTCCAGGTCCAGGCGAATCACAGCAGCAGCAGCAGGATCCTTAGGTGGAACCCAGGAAATGCAGAATATGTGGAGAGATGATTGTGTGATGAATGCGCACATGGGTAGGAAACTTAACTCAGACCGTGTTGTAAGAGAGTACCAAACCATGCACATTTCCTCCAGGAGAATCAACATTTTTCACATGGTAGCCATTTTGATCTCCTTCCTTCAACTTGTTCCCCAAACTAAAATGTTCTACTGCAGTACTGAGCAGCGAGAAACGAAGGCAGGGTTATTAAAGCTTGCGTGATATAGAGGGGCGAGCGACGATCATCATAGGATAGATATTTGTCTCTGAGGTTTGTCTGCTCCAATCCCAATACAATAATGTATATAAATGTAAATGATGTTAAACACTGCAGAAGCTGTTATTAACAGGAAACCAATAGGATGAATTTAATCTCACACTTTATCAGGCGCAGCTGAAGAAAAAACCCACTTGTTCTGACATTTAAGAGAGGCATCATTTCTACACCATTGCTCCCCTGGTTGCTTGCTTAAAGCGTCTAATTATATTTCCCTCTCAGTATTAAGTTACAGGACAATTAGCGCACTGCTTAAACTGCTTTCACCTGCACTACAGGAAGAAGTGTATTAGTGTGAGTTATTTTCAAGTTAATACTAACCTTCCTAGCAGCCATCTATTGTGCTTTATTTAGCATCCAAATGTAGGGCTGCGAGTGGAAGTCATGTCCTTCTGGTAGCCCTATTAGAAACTAAATGTTACTTTTGACAGTTTGAACAAATGAGGGAGAGCGCAGGAAAGGGAAGATAACTGTCGCTCGCTTTGAGCTATGGCAACCATCCAGTACGGGCCTTCTTTGTATTCAGCGAACACCTCGTTTTTGTGTCAGTGTGGGACGAGAGAAGCACTTAACGTGACATTTAGAGATGCTCGGAGATTCTCTCTAGAGGCCAGAGGGAGGGAGAAAAGAACCAATGATGTTATCGCAGACATGTGTTTTAAATGCCAGGAGGGGTGCTTTGCCCAAGAGCTTTGGCCACAAAGATAAGGGAATAACCTCTGGTCGTGCACCTCTTGTGCCGGGTCTGGGGCTCACGCTAAGCTTTGTCTGAAATGGTTTCAACTCTTTTCTATCAGATAGGATCTTTTAATGCCTATAGAACAATCTCTTTAGATTGTACATTAGGGCTGCTGTTATCCTCAGAAGAAATCCACACACGCACGGTGCATTTTAAATAGTCGGCCACAGGACAGGACACACAGCTTTATGAGTGGGTGACACAAGCTTTCTGGGATTGCGAATCTTAAGCAGATGGTCGTAATACACATATTAACTGTGGATCACAGCCATTTGAAAGACTTTCAGAGCCATGAATAATATCCAAAATCCCTTTGCCATTAATACCAGACTAAATTCCTCTTATTGATGTGGTTTATCCTGAAGGGACCTCCACAATAAGGACACATGAATATTTAACAGCTGAAGAAAGGTCAGTCTGTTGGTATGGAGGCTGAGATTGAACTAATCAATCATCATTTGTGTGTCAATTAAAGCAAAGCGTGTATACTTGTGACTGGATGCAGAGGATTTTCTTCAAAAATATGTTTTTGTAAAGCAAATCCCTGTAATAGGTGTCTGGATGTTTTGCAATTCAAATGTGCAAAATTCATCCATCTTACAAATGTATCTTTCACCGCGCCGTGTATGTTAGCATGTGTACTTGTGCACAAAGTGTTTTAGCGTTTGAAGCAAGGTCTAGCGACTCAGCCATAGCCTCCGATAAATCAGGCGGGGAGTTAGATGTATGGAGATAGAGCTGCATAGTGATGAAGCTGCTGTAAAGGAGCAGAGTTTAGGAAACAAGGTTAGCAATTCATCACCAGATATTCCTACCGAAAGATCCGGAGAACTTCCACGGACTCCTTTTTCCCCATTTGTCTCGGATATGGTGGCTCCTTCCTGTGTGCTCTTTTCTGCTTCATCACAGCCTCAGACACCTCG